TTTTTTTTTTTTTAAAGTGGAATGATATAGGATCATCAGGTAATCAGGAAAGGATGGTTACGAAGCTTTATTATTTGGACTTAAAAATTGTACAGTTCAGTAAATTGATAGTAAATGTTTGCAATCATCAAGGTACTGAGACTTAATAAGCAATAAGCAAGCGAAAGTTTTATCTGTGAAGAAGCAATTTTTTAATTATCTAAAATAAATTTCAAGACATGTAATATATTCTTCTATATGCTGATGCTTCAAAAGTACATTCTGAACCTACATGTGCATAATAGCTAACGACACAGACATACAACTATCGTTAAATGCTAGACCCAAATATATAACAAATTAAGAATTTCTATTCACATAAGATTCTTAATTTAAAAAAAGAAAAATCAAACTACATTTGTAGTAGACTTGATTTTTAAGTAAGTGAATTTTGTGTGTTCTCTCAAACTAAGTTTGTATTTTTTGCAAACAGTAAGTTTTTCTTTACTCATTTACACTTTAATGATGAGAACAAAAAAGAGCACTAAGCATACATGTTATTATATTCACATTTAGAACCAATCGAGTCTAATGTTTACATTAATTTGCCTGTATTTAGTAACAAAAGGGAAAGTAGTATTAAGGAAATTCTAAATTGTCATTTCTCATGAAGCAAAACAATGCAAACTGATACTGTGCTGTGAAGCATGATCAAAAGGAGATAAAACACACTCAAATGTTAAAAATGTTACATGTCCATACCCACTGCACACTCACATATGTATATATACAAAATGAAATCATTTCCTCTGTGTGTGTGTGTGTGTGTGTGTGTGTGTATATAATGTTACATGGTTATATTACACAGTAACATAGTTATGTGCATCATCGATCTAACAGTGAATATTGATGTCTAAGTCAAATTACCTGAAAGATAAATACATGCAGAACATACAGTAGTCATATGGATTTAACAACTGAAATCATAACCACCTCATAACCAAGTGTGTGTCGATGAAGAGACAAGGTGCAAAGTAAACAGTCAGAAGGCAGACACTCACCTTCGGTGCCATTGGGAGTCATGGAATTACTATTTATATGAGAGTTATCGAGTTTGGGGCCACTGGGGGATTCACTACTACCACTCAGACGGCTATGCGGGCTGGTTAGATCCTGCATTTCCATAGACCTAAAGACAAGAAGCCTTCCGTTTGACAGATGTACCAAATTCATAACACTGCTATTTAATGCGCTAACGACTTGACACCTTCTTTGAAATAAACTTGCACAAAAGTCCCATTGTATCTGTTTTCTTAGACATAAAATAGTTCATTTTGCATTTTGGCTTCAGTCATCCTTTCTTAACCGCCTTACATATTCAACCAAATACTTATAAAATGTCTACATACTTAAAAGATGCCATTTGCCTTACCTATCAAGCCAAATACTGTCACTGAGTTTTAAAATCCCTCTCTCCCAATTTAACATATCAAACCACTAGTCTAATGGAAGACAATTACATCAAATTTTGTTTTCAAAGAAGAAATTTGGCTGTATTTTTCTTTTTATATAAAACTAAAGGCATTATATTTTTAAAAAGTCACATATGTAAACATGTACATACAACACAAACAAAAATTTTTTTCTGAGAAATTTGTTTCTTCTAATAAATTAGCACTAGGTACTCCCTTATAATTTACCACCCAATTGTAATTTAATGGGTCTCCAAACCAAATAAAACACTTGAAGCCTATAGTCTAGTGACAGGGAATGAGATAGTCCTGATGCATGTGTTTACTCTGGCAAACTACTTAATTGTTCCTCTGTTTCCCTTGAAACAAATGCAGCATTAAAACATTATTATGGCGGCTCACTTGTTTGCTTTGTGGATTACATACAGCGTGCCCAATTGAAAAGGGATAAGGCCAACATACAGTGACTCCCTCAGAGCTTCAGCACTCAGGAATACCTCAGCTGTCACTCAGGCAAAGAACATGTCTACTTCCCTGCTGTCCTTTTGCATTTTCACCCTATAATAATAGTTCAATTCCCCCTGAAACTTCTTAGACTCAGCAGTTAATCCATAAAAGACACAGAAGCCATTGCTCATGTTCACAATTTCAGAACTGTCCATTTACATTAAGTCCTCTGTTGATGAAAGAGGAGAGCATTTCTTTAAAGTCACTAAAAACACATCTACCTAAAGTTTTGCTTTTATATAGCCAAGTTTTCTGTAAAATATTAAGGTTCAGTCCATTTATTTTAAACTTTTTTTATTTTTGCTTTTTTTTTAGGTTACATACCTGAAGCTAATATGGTTTGTTCCACCATACCAATAAAACCTATAGTATTAACTTGGAGGTGGTACTTAAAATGACTACAAGAAGAGTTTTTCAACCTACTTAACGTGAACTATTTTCCTCCTAAAGTGAGCTTTTAAAATTTCTCTAAATCTTCCAAACTATAAATAATTAAAATTCCAATTTTTCTCTCCTAATTTTTATTACACTCACAATTTTCAGAACACCAGTGAAATGATTATAACCCATAGTCATAATTTTTTGTAAGCACCACACACACAATTTGTTAAGTAATTTTCAACTGAGAGTGTTGCTATTAATAGTAGCAATTAAGAAACATTAGACATAAATAGATATGGGTCACAGAAAGGAAATGTTCCCCACACGCCAAATATCAATAATATCCTTACCTGCAACTTGAGGAAACAGCAACATCTGAACTGGTTTGAGATGTTTGCACCTGTGATCAAGGGGTAAAAAATTAGAAGCTGTTGTTACTCTACTTCAGTTACTCGGTCAGGTCTTAATTATACAGAACACATGGCAGAGAACGACAATGCTCTCTTTTAACCAAAGGAGAAAAAGGAGGATACAGCAGCAGTGAAAGGCATATTGTCTTTAAGTTGAGGTCTCAACTGTTGTTTCCTCCTGCAGGTCTACCCTCCTCCCCTTGTCAAGGGGAAGGCAGCCAAATGACGGGATAGTGATTCATCACTGGCCTATGACAGCTGCAAACAGGATTACCCCTCCCCCAATCAACATGCAAAGCAGCTTTGCCCAGGCAACTTGGAAAAGGTGCTTGGAGAGGGGAGGAAAATATCGCTATTAACAAAATGAGTGTGTTTAACAGGAGTTCAAGCAGTAATCCTCCAGCATCCTCCAAAGATCTTTCATCTTCTGTTATCAACAGCTAAAATAGGGCTCCCGCCTACCACTTTGACTCCTACTTACTCTTATCACAACGATTTTCCTCTACATTTACTATTTGCCATTCAACATTCGCTAAGGCTGCTTCTGGAAAACCTTGCAGGTGACGCAGGACTACAAGGCAATGGCAAGTTTTTAAAGCCATCTGTGAGCACTGTGCTCCCTGGCCCATTCCAATTCAAAATTCACTAAGTGCTATTTCATCTCTGCCTCTGTAGAGAGAGAGAGACAAAGCTGCTTACTTTTTTGGAGGGCTGTTACTTCTCTAGCCTCTAAACCTGGTAGGGGAACCGATAGTTTACATGATACTATTTGGCTTCCCCTGACTAGCTCCTTTTGTCTCTACATGAATCTGCAAACGTTTCAGGATATCAAAGCAATTTTAAGAGTTACTGTCCTTCCTCCAGAAGCAGAACAGAACAGGGCACAGGTGATAGGTTCAGGTGGGCTCAGGTAGGTTGCTGGCTGGCAACGCCTGGCTCAAACCTCTGTAGGAAGAAGCATTCCGTTTAACATTTAAAATGACTCAAAATTCCAAACTTTTGGTGTGCATTTTCCTTCAACCTGAACTGACAGCAGTCAGGGTTACAGAACAAAGATGCAAGTTGAAGCATTCCAAATGGCATTATAGTTTTCCAACTAAACATCTCTGTTGAGTCCTGTTATTTCTTATTTATGATTTATGAAATTAAGAAACACTACCTTTCCTGGCAAGACTAAATGTCTTGGTGTAATGTTACATGGAATTTCGGTGTATGCATTTCTATAGTATATGCAGGACGGAAAACAATTTTTTTAAAGGCGCAAGAATTTTTTAAAAAATTTCATTTTATTGCAGCAGATTTCTAAACCTTCTCTTAAGATGAATGTCCTCATACAAGACTTCCCTTTAGAAACTACAGCAATATACCTCAAGGGTAGATTTTTGCTTGCCCCTCACCCTCATTTTATGCACCTGGAATAAATTATAGGTGAGAACTAGCTTAGTTTTAAGAACTCCCTCGGCTTAATTATATAATTACTTAAAGCATGACTTCTGCTAAATATGAAAAATATTCCTATCTTGATATAAACATCATCTTGGAAATACAAGTCTAGTTTAATTGCATACTTTGAATGTTTGGTTGTGCTCATTTTTAACCTATCACATTTGTATTTCAAAATCGAGCAGTTAATAAATAAAAAATTATCTTCAAAATCAGTGAAAATTCTTTTTCCCTCACTAGGAAAAAGGAAATGCATTTTCAGGAGAACATAGTCCTCTCTTGCTGGGTTCAACTCCATCTCGACTGCACTTTTATTTGCTATGATTTTTGAAAGTCCGCATCCATGAACTTCATTTCATTAAGTATACTTCAGATATAGTCTTTTGTGTCTCAATGATTATTTAAACCATGTGTTGTGTGTTACTGTATTTAAAAATGACTCTTTAATCAAAATAACTTTAAAACAACTAATCCTCACTTAGGCTGGTCAGCTGAATCCACATCGTGGTCCAGGAAAAATAAATCTACTCTCAAGAATGTGAATGCAGACAACAATTAGACACAGATGTGAGCAAAATTAGTTACAGTTTACAAAATGCTACACTTCACATGCTTTTAGTTTTTTATATGTAGTACAAGATTACAGTGCAGAAAAGAAACATAAATAAGGACTTTCTAAAAAGAACACCTATTTCTGATTGGTGTGTATATTCTCTTATGTTTGATCATCTCAATGAAAGTTTGTGTTTTAAAGATTTAAAACCATAATGTTTTTCAAAGCTAATCAATTAGGCATATTTCCATCTCAAAGAGAAAAAAATTTCATGGTTTTCAGAAAAGTTATTATTAGGCATTCAGTAAATTCACATTTTCTGCTTTATAGCCATACAATTAATATATTTCTTTTCTTCTCTTAATCTTGTATTTTTAATTCAAATGCTTTCATGAATGCAAAAGTATTTCCCATAAATTTATAGTCATCTTGTATTACAATGAGGTCATTTCACTTTAACACTTTAGAAACTCTTACTACAGAATGCCTGTAGAAGCATGTTGACAGAGTTGTAAATACACACACACACACACACACACACACACACACACACCCCACACACACACATATCCCCCCCCAAAAGATAGCAAAACTTCTTAGAACTTAAAGTCAAGACTCCTAACGAGTAACTTTGACTTCTGATTAGTTAATGAGGTCTTTTAAGTTTGTCTTTTTTCTAATTAAATTTATAATTCTTCACAGATGTAACTTTTGTTGATGTTCAATTTGTCTCTCTCATTTTGTTAAACCTCACATAGTACTTCGCCAATCCATTGAATAGCCACATTAAATCTGTTAATACCATGCTCTTCAACCCCAGAAATTATTTCCAGAAGGCAAACTTGCTTTGAGAGATCATCAAACAAGACTTTAGGTACACATTTTATCACATTTTCCCTACCACAGAGCTCAGGATGCAGAGCAAAATTCATGACTTTTGCACTGTTTATTATACTTTGCTAAATTACAAATCAAAAGCATCTGACAGAAGATCATGTATGAAGCCAAAAAGTTAATAATGTTCTGCGAAAAGTAAACTGTAAATGGGAAGGGATTCTAAATCTCAACAGCACAGAGCAAATAAAATGTAGGTACTTATCTAAATCATGGGTTTTCCATAGGCTTTTTTGCTTATAAGAAGCAATTTTTATAAAATTACTATAATTTAAATCTGTTTTTTTTTTTAAAAAACAAAAACCTAAAAAGAAATTTTCAAAGTGAAAGTTTTGAAGTTATTTAAATAAACAGAATTGGCAAGCAAGCTAGATTTGTCCAACCACAGATCAACCTGAGGACTCTATAATCTCAAAGACAATGGCAATTTTCTCATCAGAATTTATTTTACAAGAGAGGAAAGTGTCTTAGCCATAAATGTATTTTCTAAGCAGAATATACTCTGGCTAAAATTTTTCCTCATTCAATATTACCAAATATATTCTCACTCTTATAATAAAGACCTACACCTAAGTCTAACTGAACTTCTAGGTAAAAATTGGTAACTTTTAAATGTTGACACTTCTTCATCAAAGACTCATAAAATAATGCCTTACTAATATTTCTAATTTTTATACTCATTCTCTTCTGTCACTTTTTACAGTATCTTCTGTGACAAACGTGATACAATATTCCATTTTACAAAATGTTCCTTGGAAACGGGAATAAGTGTTTAAACCAGACTGATTCAACTATAGCTGTAAAGGATTGTTTTCAAAATGCACCCTAACTTAAAGGCTGGATGATATATTTTGGGAGTCTAAGTGGAAGTGGTTTTAGTCTCACTGCAGTTATTTTTCTTCTTTGCAATGGATTTTTATAAAATAAAATTTCACATTCAAACGGAAATTTTCTTTGTGAAAATCATTTATCATGTTTAAGAAACTCACATAGCAGCTGTCTTCCCTCTGGCACTCTAAAACCGAACAGTGGCTCAATTAGGCTTCAGTGTCTGTCACCGCAAAAAATGTTCAAGTTGAAAACCTATGGCTGTTCACTAGATTCCTGAAACCTTTGGGCCTTATAAGAACTCAAGCAATGAGAAAGTCCAATACCAAAATATTTAATCATGCAAAAGCCTGCCCTCAAATCCCAAAGTTGGTGGAAAGAGTTACCCACTCCTATTACCAACAGAATAAAACCTGCTCTCATAGACACATTAAAAGAAATAAAAAATTAAAAAGAACCCCAAGCCTACAAAAGCTCTAGGCTTTTCCACCAACTTTTTGTTCTTTGTTATAAGAACACTTATATTTTTTAATGACAGCTTTGGATATATTGAGTTCTTACAAATGCTACATTTCAATGTTTTCTAAAACTCCTAAGAAATATAAACTCATGATTCTTTAGCATTTCATATACTGATTTCTTGAAAGACAAATAATGATAATTCAAAAAGTTTCAGTCTTGTTTTTCATTTCAAGGTCCATTTAAGCCATAAAAAGTGTAAGTGAAAAATAGTAATTTCTCGAGGGTTTATGATATCATTTTTAAAAGATGAGCCAGCTTAATAATTTAGGAAATTTGTTTACTGAAGCTAAAGGATTTCCTGCTTTAAAAAGTACTATAAATTTATTATAGTTATCTGTTGCCCTTCAGAAATATTAATTCCTTCCTCATTTGTCCATAGCACCCTAAAATGCGCAGGAAAAGTTACATAATTAGTGGTAATGCAGATACATGCATATATAGTCTTTATTCAATATCACACAATAATAATTGATGTTTGTACAGCAATTCTGAACAGATATGAAGTGTCTCCCTACAAGTTGATGGTCCTGCATCCTCTTCTTTTTAAAAAAAAAAAAGATGGCAAAAGTAATTATTAACACAATTAATTTATTATCTCAATGATTCTAACCGCGTAGATAATTGGAGCGTTAAGAAGTATACTTTTATGATGATCCCAGCGACTAATAAAGTCCTAGGTCCAAAGTGTCATCATTTTCCCCACACCAGAATGCTTTTATTTTAAAACAAATCCAAATAAGAAGAAAAGCACTCCTGGTATCTTGGTCTTTGCCCACAGGACAGCTGTTGTCAGTCACTCCAGTTTTGCAAACAGTCCGCTTGTACTTACAGTGCTTACATCTGCTGCATCCAACCAGTTTCAAGCGCTCCTTCGAATTTTCTGGTTTAGCAAACCTCCATTCCTTACATAGTTTTGCTCGCGGGCAATGACGGGTGCGGGGCTCTAGGCGCTCACAGCGCCGCTGGGCGCTCCGGGCAGCCGAGCGGCTCCGGAGGGTGAAGCCCGGCTCCAGGCACAGGCGCCTGGCCGCTGTTGCAGGCTCGGGCTGCGGAGCCACTGAGCGAGGACGCCGTCCCCGGCGACAAAACCGCCCGAGCCCGCTGCGACAGGAAGGCTTAGAGTCGGAAGTGGCACTGGAGAGTTTCTAGCTCGCCCCAAACTCGGAGCCATCAGCTCCCACCGTTCTGTGTAGTAACCGCCTGGAGCCCTGCGCTCTTTCCCCACTGAACAGCAGCAGCAGATAGCATCTGAGAACCCGAGACAAAGAAACAGCACAATCTCATCCCTCGATTTGTTTGCGCAGCCTTGTAGGTCTGCCCATGGAGCCTCGGGGCTTTTTTTGTTTTTGCAACGCAAACCACAGCTATTCTCTTGTCCTAAGCTTATTGGTTTAAATGCAACAATTGAAAGGAGCACTGCTCGATCTGACTCAACCTTGTTGCTTTAAAAAAAAAAAATATGTAAATGAACGCGCCCCATGCTATCTGAATAAACAGTTGTGTGAGAATAACTTCTGCGAGGCACTGTCAACACACATCCTTTTGCTACAGCAGCTACCAATTAAGACCTTTGGGGAGTAGTTACACCTTATCTTTTACACTTGTCCAGAACTTATTTTTTCAGGCCTTCAAACTTGGGAAATCTATACTTTTCAAAAATTGGTTCCTAGTGTATCCACTAACAGGTCCAGAGAAAATAAGAAAATAGAATGACCCCTTCCACTAAAGGGGGGGGGGGAGCGGGGGATGGGAGGACAGAGGGAGAAAAGGGTGGCGGTTAGCAATCTCAGATGCAAGCCTGAGTGATCATTTTGCAGTGACTTCTAGAATGACAGGTCTTAACAGGTCTAATTTTTGGATATGAGCTAAATAATACTTGAGTGTTAATATTTTCAAATGAGCTTTTTTTAGGGGAAAGATTAATTTTATCTAGAATCTCTTGCTGTGCACTCTAGACTTTGATGTTAAAAAAATCTAAATTAGGAATTTTTGTGTGATAACATTCACCTGGTGAGCTGAGCTCTTCAGCTTACAACACAATGGCAGTTTCAATTTCAGATATTTACTTACTATCACGTTCTATGCAAATATATTACTTCGGTTTTAAGATCAATGACTTAACCATTATATTAATTTCCAACATTTAGAAACAGACTTTACTTATGTGATATGTCAATATGCCTTAATTTATCAGCCTTATGCCATACTTTCAATACACATATTTAATATTAGCCATCTAGCATAAGCAATTTTGTACTCTAAAAATAGGATGCTTTTATATATTCCTCAGAGCTGTCTACTGATACTGATACTACGATTCTGTTTGGTCTTTTGATTTAAAAAACAAAGCAGCCTTTATTTTCAGGGTTCTAAGCTTGGTATGAAAAAAATATTTCAAAAAATCACAGTAACTTCATAAATTATTTTATAACACATTTCTAGATCACCAACTAATAAAACAGATAAAGACTCTTACCTTTACCTTGCTAATATGTAAATGAAAGCACCACTTCAATGCAAGCAAAAAAATTAAATAAGCTTCTAATGACCCAAATTCAAGGCAGGCATCATCCCTTTCTCCCCTTTGAAAGGATGCCACTCTACATGCCTCAGAACAGCACACTATCAAAACCTAAGAGACAGTTCAAACTGTAAGCGCATCTAGACTTCATTTTGTACAGTCTGACAAAGAATCATGGGCAAGCTCCCTACTATACTGGGGAAGCCGGGTCACAAATCAGTAGGCTGCTTTGGGATCTGTTCATATATGCAGCAGGAAAAGAATTACATTGCCACCTACAGCACTTCTGCAGATCAAAACTATCCGTTATCCAATATACTAATGTATATGTGGAGAAAATAAAGTACAGCATGCAGTGGAGGTTATTTCCTAATGTTAGAGAAAAATGTAATGTTATATTAATTCAATCTATGATATCAAACACCATGAACAGTAACTGCATTTGCTATCACATTTATTCCAAAGCTCCATAAAAGATGAAATCTGCAGTTGCTGGTTGGAGAATTCAACGCTGTTTGATGCTTTATATTCAGCATATTATATTCATGCTTCTCAGAGTTTAAAGCTTATGTTAGGTATCAAAGGATAATATTTTTCTGATCATGAAATACTTTATGGGCAAATCTAAACTACGTAAACTATATGAAGTCAAAACATCAGGAATATCATGTAATGCATGTTACTTTTATATACAAATTACTTGACTACATCATAATCAAATTTATCATATTACATGTTTTTATATTGAAATGGAATTATTTTTGTGTATATAAACAAGCAAAATACCATTAAAGAAATGATGCATGTAATTAGGAGGAAAATTATGAAGAGAATGATGAAGGCAACGTGACCACTAATTGACATGATTTAGATCATGCTTCATAATTATGTAACAAAGAGCTTAGTCTTTGGCTAACAGTAATATCCATGTGCCTATATACCACTTTCAAAGAGCTTCCTTTTCCTAACCCAAAATTAGATGGAGTAAAAAATAATCACATATTTATCTATAAAATTGGCCTTTTAATACTTCTGAATACTGACTATGAAATAAATCCTATCACCCACTACTATGGAATTAAAATACAAATAACCTACTCTAAAATATAAAAGCAAAATATAGGCCATTAATAATAGACACTGTTCCAAATTTTCAGCAACCATACCACATAATTAAATCATGTATTCCAAGGACAAAATTGTTCTCTGTATAAAACTATACACATTTCAACGGAATTTGAGAAATTTTGCCACTAAAGACAGGTGTGAGTAGGAAACATTTTTATACAATAATTTGCTGCAGAATTCTCAATTTATAAATGTGCATGAATAAAAACCTTTAACATATCTAGTATAATCATATCTGGAAAATGGAAATCTTTCAAATATCCGACTCTAATAAATATCTGAACATTCTCAAAGGAAGAATCTCATTTGGATAGTGTGTCACCAAACAGGTTTTAGATACCAAGCAAAACCCCACCTATAAGCACTCCTGGTTATACACACATATACAGTTTTAGTATAAAATCTTAATGTTACTAGATAGCAAAGAATTTTAGGTAAAGACATGAACAAAATAATAAGCCAAAGTTCTTCATTTCAAAAGGAAAAAGAAGATAAGGAAATCAGGAAAATTTAAAAATTCATTTGGAAATCTTCTAAAACTACAAGAAAACAGTGAACTAAATAAAACATAACAAATAAGTGCTGACAGAGCAAAAAATAAAATGCAATAAATGCCCTTTCCTTTTTCCATTCCAGTAACAATAATAATGCCTTTGAGTAGTTATGAAGTTTGTACTAAAAGATAAACTTAAGAATTCATTTTCTTCCATTTATATACACCTCTAAATGTATTTAGGGAGCTCTAGTAGCCTAGTGGTAAGAAGGTGTGTTGCCAACACCAAGGCACAGGGTTCGACTCCAACAGCTTTGAGAAAAAGATGGACCATCTCCTCCCATGAGATTTCAAATCTCTGGAAATCTACTGGCGGGTCAGCTACATGTTGGTTCTGACTCGACGGCACACAACAACAGAAAACTTCAGAGTTAAATTTCTATTTTAGGCAATCATCTGGTTTAGGAATTTCCTAATCCCCGTATTTCCACAATGTTGAGGAGGGGGTTAAGTCTCAAGAATGAAGGGATAGTCAACTGCAAGATAAGGTCTGGTATTTTCTTCAAAACCAAAACAATGGTTTTTATTTCTCTCATATTATTGAAGTCAAATTGCTGAAAATTTTTAAGATTTTACATTTTAACTGTTCAAAGTTGAATGGCAAGAACAGTGCTCCAAAATGCTGTACTTTGTCCATTCTGCTTGCAGGAGTGTTTTGGTTTGTTGTTGTTTTTTTCTTGAATATGGCCCGTGCCATGACACTCCATTTGGCCTCTTTATGGACCCGTTAGAACAGTGTCTGGATAGCTGACATTATGCTGCCTGCTGGCATTTGGAGTGGTCACTTCCATGACCTACTCTTTCCCCACTGGCACGAGACCCACAGGGAGGACCCTGCTGCCAGCAGCCTCCTGCTGAAATGCAACCAAGTAAAACATCCTCTATTTATTTTAAGAATGACATTAAATCCGCCAAACTAAATGTCTACCCGTATTTTGCTAAACGTTTTCCATTCAGTCTCCAACATGAATAGCTTTTAACAGTACATTTAAGGAGGCAATTATTAAAGATTACCTATATTGGGGAAAATTATCTTCATAAATATTATAGTTTTTATACCAACACAATATGAAAATATAACCTATTTCCTGACTTGCTAATAATGACATTGGTTTTTACACAGCACAGTAATAATAACTATTTCTTGATGTAGAGAGGGAAACTCGTTATCATATGTGGTAATGTCTACCTTTAGGAAGTTTTTTTTATAAAACGTGTTCTCTTTAATACAAACTTTGAGCAACAAAGTGGATAATGATAACATGGGTAGAAGAAGGTTTTATAAGAACGAAGAACAAGAATACAGAGTTGCTTACAGACATAGATTTAAAGAAAATATGACATATAGTTTACTATATTTATTTTTA